TGTCGGCTGTCGACCGTGGACATGACCCTACCGCCACGCGAATCCTATCGACGGACCCGCTCTACAAGGAGATGAAGGAACGGGCCAGAAACGTCAATACGGATGATCCGCACGACTACGTGCGTGAATTGTTCAGACATACGCTCAAGTTACGTCGGCCGTGGTGGAAGCTCGAGGTCCACGAGCAGCGCAAGGATGACACGGGACGCGACCTGGAACCCGTCATCCACAAGTTCGCTGTCGGCGCACCGTACTTCCAGGCTCCCGGTGTGGCTGGACGGTTCACGCGTGGCTACATCGCCCTGCCTGTCAACGATCAAGGTGGAATCAGCAAAGATGCCACGTTTGTGTTTCTGAAGGACGCGTGGCGCGTGGATCACCCCGGGATCGAGCAGGAAGGGGCGACGCTGCAGTTTCTTAATCAACGTAATGTGCCGTACGTGCCGACGTTGGTGTGCCACGGCGACCTCGGGCAGGTCACGCAGTCGCAGAAACACTGGAAGGAGTTGCATCCCGAAGTAGAGAAGGTCCCTCTGAAGACGCACTCGCATTACCGGGTTGTGGTGAAGGAGGTCGGGCTTCCGCTTGAGAAATTCCTGGAAAGTTCTTCCGAGTTATGCTATGCCTTGTATTGTTGTATCAAAGGTGTGTGGCGTTGGTAGCACATTGACTGATTGGCTGACCGCTTGAATTTAGCCCATGCCGCAGCCTTCGATGCTGGCATCATTCATCGCGATATCAGTGCAGGCAACCTGTTGATATACAAGGACGACGAGGGCGAGTGGACTGGGCTGCTCAACGACTGGGAACTGTCGAAGAAGGTGGACAACGAAGCTCCTGAGGGTCGTCAGCCGGATCGCACTGTGAGTACTTCGTATCGCAATGCGCAGGACAGCGGGTGCTGATGTTGTACGTTGCAGGGTACCTGGCAATACATGTCTGCGCACGCTCTCAACGATCCACGTCGTAGGATCGTCATCCAAGACGAACTGGAGTCTTTCTTCCACGTCCTGCTCTACTACGCCATCCGCTTCCTCCCCCATAATCTCCAAGACAGCTGTGTTGGAAAATTCCTGACTGACTATTTCGATGATTACTCGACCTACGAAGGGTACTACATATGCGGGAGGGCGAAGCACGATGCGATGAAGTACGGTCACATCGACCTCGAAACGTACCACGGCCATCAAGACGACAAGACAAAGAACAGTCTCAAGTTCCTTTGGCCGACTCCTCCCGCCAATGCTACGCCCACTGCAGGGCCCCGGGAACAGTCGCCCTCTCCTTCCCCTAGGAGCAGCCCATCCCCCGCCGAGCGCCCGTCTGCGAGTTCGAACAGCAGCATTCCTTCTGGACGCTCACCTTCCCCTCAATTCAGTGCCATTGACGGTTCGGACCTCACTCCGCTGAACTCGGACGACTCCGCTCCTGACGAGGAGCACCCTATCAACGAAATCATCTCGGAGCTGCTGACGTGGTTCCGGGCGTACTATGCCCTGGATGCGGAGCACACTCGTACATCCTCTGCCAGTTCCAGAACAAAGAAGACGTCGAAAGGTATCATCCCAAGCCGGTCTAGGGCGGCCCTGAGGAATGACGGACACCAGGACCAGAAATGGGCTCGTGGGCGCTCCCTCCAGCCCACCGCTGCCAAACTAAAAGAGGACGAAGCCCTCAGAAATAATCTCGAGACGCACGAAGCGATCCTCTCCCTCTTCAACAACTCTTTTGAGAGGGTTTGGCCAGCGAACGATAAGGGCCCTGACAAGAAGCCCGAAGGAGGTTACGCGCCACCGAAGTCTGCGATGCCGTCGGACTCTATACGCACTAGCTCGAAGCGGCGAAGTATGGACGATATACCCGGTGGCAAGCCGCCGCGCCCCACCAAGCGCAGCAGGATCTAGCTGCTCACTCATTCATATCGCTCATTTATATCAGACGCTCACTGCGCTTCCCGGCGGCGAAGACCGCGATGGTCATTCCGGCTGCAACCGTTCTCCTATATAATGGCCACTCCTCGTCACCTCGTCTACTAGCCTCCTTCTCCGTGTTTCGCGCCTTTCTCGTGCTATTATCATTCTCCTTCCTGGCACCCCACCACCCATCCCATCGCCCCATCTCGTCCAGTTTGCCTTCGTGGAGCCACGTCGTCAGACCAGGGGACGCCTTTTATCTCTCCAGCACTCCCCCATCTTTGGCCCCGGGATGCACCCTGGATACCGAGTCACGGCCTTAGACCTGTCTTGATCATACTGTCGCGGTCCGTTGTCATCCTGTGCTACCAGTACATACCCGTATTGCCGATACCCACATAGATTTTTGATGTATCTCATTGACGTTCCCGTCACCTAGACCCGACGTGGGATTGACTGGAGTCTGCGTGCGCGGCGGGGCCCAATTCTGATTCGGACGCCAAGCTGCGAGACCAAGGGGACATATGGACGCACCGGCGTCGTGTCGTCCTCCATGGTGACAAAATCTCAAGGGTTCGCACGAAAAGAATCCAGATAGGTGGACTCTTTGGCAAATATACTGCGTGGAATTATCGAGGTGACCAAGTACAAGTACTCAGTGAGAAAATCAACAAGTTGTGCCACAGCGCGAGAAGTGTGGAATGTACTCGCAAGGTACTACCAAATGCACGTCTCAGGCATTCTCGTCTTCGTTGGAAATAATCTGAGCCATAAGAAGTCTGAGCTTGATATGAGTGTCTTGAGTATGAATTAACCGTACACGCAGCATGATGAGCCAATCACATCCGACAATGGCAACCATTCGAGAGATTTTGTATGCTCACGGAGGTGAGCACCATATTGATGAGCCGCCTGCTTAAGTTATCCTGGGTAGAGAGCTTGACAGAAGTTTCATCCTGGCTGCCAACCTGTTCATGGTCCATTCGGACGTACCTAGCTTGTAGCAAACAGATTATTTAAGAGACCGGGTTGTCTATTACGTATTTATGATCTCGGTCGCTCGTCAAAGCAAGGGAGGAATCCGGAGTTTCGCACACTATACCGCCACATGACTTCAATGTTGAAGCACATTCCAGCGTCATTATATCTGCATGCTCGAGTATGAACGTCTGGGCCTGTCGTATCTTACTGAGGGGAACTGCAGGGAAGATGTCCAAGACACTCTGAGACGGCTATTAAGATAGGTCATCTAGGATGGAGATGGAGGGAGAGTCGCGGGCAAGAGGGAAAGATGCACAAGACTTCAAACATGGGGTGGCATTTGGCTGGTGCAAAACAATACATATGAAGGCCAAGGAGCGATTCATTCATTACGGCCTAGCCGGAGCCCGACGCAGAGCCAGTGGGACAAACGTAAGAGTCCCATGTGCGACATAGCGAGAGTGATGTGTGGTGCGAGACTGCTGGGCGCGCGAGATGGGAATACACGAGCACGGTGAATGTGGTGTGCATGGAGGTTCCGATGATGTTCATCGCAACACCTCAAATTCAGTATCAGTATCAAAGAGTACTTGGTTGCGACAGAGCCTACTTGCGGGGAGCGTTCGTTTAGAAGGGCAGCAGAGCAGATACATGCACAAAGTGGCGCGTACACGCTCACAGGGTCTCGGCAGGATGCACAGTAAGCTTTATCCCGCTGACCAGGCCCTTCGACATCCTCTCCAGGCCCGCATCGACCCCCGCAAGACCGTTCGGAAGCACCTCGAACCTGTTTGGCTAGCAACCAGGTCATGAAATCAGTCCGCTCGGGAACCATAGGCAGCAGTGCGGTATCACGTACCACGATGACGCCCGTTTCGAGCCATCCGGGCAGCCTGTCGAAAATCTCCTTCCCCAGCTCCTTGTTTCCGGGGCTATTGTAGCTGGACCATGAGAGCGCCACCCGCTTGTCCTCTCCCTTCTTCTCGCTCTCCGCGACCAGGTCAGCGAGCCAATCTGCGGCAAAGGGATTGACGTGGACGAACGCTCCACCAGGCGCAAGGACACTGTAACCGAATCGGTGGGAGTCGCGGTCTCTGCCCCAAGGGTCATAGACGAGCTCGATCGTGGTGCCTGCCGTAAGCGACGAGAGCGTGTTCTTGATCTCGTCGAAAGAGAGAGAACGGTCGATGACATGGGTCGCGCCAAGGGACTTGAGGTATTCCTCGTGCTTGATGGATGAGGTCGCGATGATGGGCGAGAAGTTTTGCATACGCGCACATTGAATGACTGTAAGGTGCGCACAAGTCAGTCGCTGCAAATTAAAGAAAGGGATGCGACAGTACGCACCGAACTGGCCGACGGACGTAGAGCCCCCAAGGATGAGCGCAGCTTTGCCCGCATACTTCGTCGTGCCTCCCTCATACCAGGGAGGGGTGAGTTCGGCAGAGTGGTTGCCTTCTCCATGAGCCCAGATGCCGGTGACGGCCGTCGCAAAGGCGAGAGGGATGGTCGCCGCTTCATCGAAAGAGATATTGGCAGGGAACTGAAATCCAGTCAATGAGTTTACACCGTGGCGGACCGCCTGCACAGGACATACCCTCAACACTTCGGCGGCAGGAAATACTGCATATTCCTTGAACGTTGAACGCTTGACGTCGAGCCCGGCACGAACCATCCTGTCCACTCGTGTGAGTGTACTGCGTAATCTGATTTAGAGATGTAACTGAGCAAAGATAACTTACACTCTTTCTCCCTTCGCGACATTGTTGAGCTCAGAGCCCACCTCCTCGATAACACCGGCGCCATCGACCCCGAGGATGAACGGGTATGCAGGTACGAGCGGTCCACCGCCGTTGTCCTTGATAAACGCATCCGCGGGGTTCAACGCAGCAGAAGTGGGCTTGACGAGAACCTCTGTCGGCCCTGGCAGGGTCACGGGCCAGTCGGTGACAAGTTCAAAGGATGCCTTCTCGGCTGGAAGGACGAGTGCTTTCTGGGTGGCGGGAGGCATGATCACGATGCAGGAGGGAAGTCGTTGAGGATGGTAGTGCGGTCGATGAGAAGTCAGGCCGCTGAAGCATTAAATATACTGACCTCGGGTAGTTTGAAGTTCCTACAAGGAAGTTCGAGTAGTAACCGAAGCGCATACTTTGGATCTGAGATCATGTATGCGTGCGAGCGTCAGCTTGGGATAGGCGTCGGATGGCGTCGGATTTGAAGTGGCTCTTACTGCGACTCGTGGCTCAAACAGGAAGCCCTGTACTCCTGGTTCAACGGCTCTGCTGTCCAGATGGGAGGGCATCAATCGTCGGAGAATGGTGTGGGTAGTTGAAGCAACGGAACCGCTGCCCCCTTGAAGCACAACGGAAGCGGAACGAGATATTCCGACTACGTCAGGTCACTGACTTACCAGAAGTGATGGTTAGTATCAGACAATGGAGTGGTTCATGGGCTGCAGTCCTCGCGTGATGGTGGACACAGAAAGACCATGTCTCGCTGACAAGTTGAATGACGCGCACTTACGGTCGAGCCCTTGGACGTTCTGGGAGACAGGAGGAGAACAATATCTTGCGAGGCATCAACTTGCGCGCTTATGACTAACCCAGCCGAACCGGCACACGCATTTCGATCGTGGACGCGTCTCAGTAAGTACGCGTACCGTTCGTGCACTCCGACTCGACCATCGTGGACCGACCCATCTCATGCCCAGCTCACGGTGCAGCGGCTGCCGTGTCCTCGTCGAGGCCCAGTCCAGATCGACTGCTGTTCCCTCAGGCTGTTGTTTTCTCACTGTCGTGCGATGGCGTCCGGATGGCGTCAAGCAGCCGGAATTCACGGAAACCAAAGCCCGCTCGAAGGAGTGGTAGTAGGAGCTTTCCGATAAGGGCAGCTCGTCTTCGTGCACGTTCGCTATCCAGAAGGTTACCTATTCACCTCTACATCGCGTCGGTAAGGGGAGCAGGATGGGATCTTCATCTTCTACAGGTGAGTGTTGATGACGACCACTCCTGGGCCCGCCGTTGTGGTTGTGAAACGACGTCGTGATGCCAATGGACCCCTGGAGACGTCATCTGCGATCGTTCTTGGTCACCCTCATGATCAGTTCGTACGTTGTTCTAACCATCATTGCCTGTTCCAGGAACTGCACCCGCAGCTCCCGAGTCGGAGTCTTCCACCAAACACATTTGCATCATTGGCGTAGGGCCAGTCGGCCTTGGGGCGCTCAAGATCGTCAAGGATTCGCCTCAATTCAAGGAGGGCAAATGGAAGGTAACTGCGTTCGAAGCGCGAGAGAAGATTGGAGGGATTTGGTACCATCATCTCTTTCCCAGTGACATTACATGTATGCTCATCAAGACGATATAACTTCCAGGTTGCCCGCTCCTGCCGAAGGAGATCCTCCACTGACCGCGCTGTACGACTCGCTGACGGCGAACACGCCCCACCCACTCATGTGCTACAGCTCGTACCTCTTCCCACCCGCGACGCCGCTCTACCCACGTGCAAAGGTCGTCCTGGAGTATATCGAGGCCTACGCGAGACATTTCGACTTGAATCCGCACATCCGGTTGCGCACTTCTGTGCTTGCCGTGCACTGGGACGCGACGTCAAGTAAATGGAACGTGACAGTGGCGGGGGAGGATGGGGACGAGACGATCCCGTTCGACCTCGTTCTCGTCGCGAACGGACACTTCCGTGTTCCTCGCATACCGGACCTCAAGGGCCTCGCGGCGTGGATCAAGAAAGGCAAGGTCACTCATACGGCTTGGTACCGCCGCCCCGATGATTACACTGGCAAACTGCTTGTCATCGGAGGCGGGTACAGCGGACAGGACGTCGCTGCAGAGACACAGCCGTTTGCGACAGAGGTCATCCATTCCATCACGAATGCCGCCCCGGAAGACCTAAATGGCGGTAAGCTCAAGAAACGCGGACGCGTGGCCGAGTACCTCGACGCCGACAAGGGAGACGTCGTCTTCGAAGACGGCACGACCGTGTCTGGGATCGACCACGTCGTGCTCGCGACCGGGTACCAATTCAACTTCCCCTTCCTATCCGAACCCGAAGTCGTCGCCGCGATGCCGCCGCGCGTCCCGCCAGTCCCTCCGGTGCTGTACAACTCGACCTACCACGTCTTCCCGATGGCGAAGGCCATGTTCCCGCTCGTCACCTCCTACCCGCCCTCCAGCCTCGCCTTCCTCGGGCTCCCCCTGCGTGTCGCGCCGTTCCCCTTGACCGAGGTCCAGACCCGCGCCGCGCTCAAGGTCTTCGCGGACCCGTCCTCGCTCGACCTCGAGCGCGAGGCCGCGGCCATCGATGCGCGGTACCAGGCGTTCCGCGCGGAGAAGGGCGACAACGAGATCGCGATCGCGGACGCGTGGTTCCGGTTCGGGTTCAAGGAGATGTTCGACTACCGGGACGAGCTGCACGAGTTCATGGGGGACGAGTACCGGGTCCCGGAGTGGGAGAAGCGGCTGTTCGAGCAGAAGGATGCGCTGAGGGAGCAGTGGCGGGAGCTGGAGAGACTTGGGGAGGCCGACGAGTGGTCGAGGGGCGTCGGGGCTCGGGGGGATCCGTGGCAGGAGTGGGCCGAATTCATGTGGAAGGTCCTTCGCCGCGAGGAGTCGAGGGCTTCAGCGTAGTTTCGTGGAGGCAGTGGGTGATGACTGGCCGCAGTCAAGCTTTGGATAGACTTCTCCGAGCTTCTCATTTGCATTTTAATTGGGAACAAGCAAAGATTGCCGGTGGCCGTGCTATTGCAGTATTAATGGGGAATATATTGGTGGGGTCGGCCACACGTGATCGTGGTATGGAGGCATTAGCCGGCGCGACACTCCGGTCCTCGCGCCGCTTGTCGAGCGATGCCTGCTTCGTCTGCTTCCGCCCTTTGCTCACTCGCATCCTTTGTCTTCGGGTCGCTAGCGTGCCCTTGAGTCGTCCAAACCGCGAGGAACCCTCGTCGAGGACCAGCACCAACCGACGAGGAAGTCGAGCAGCAGGAGATAAGTCGGGCGAGTCAAGTCGGGCGAGTCAAGTCGGGCGAGTCAAGTCGGGCGAGTCAAGTCGGGCGAGGTAAGTCGTGGCTTCGTGCTCTTCTGCATGACGCATGGCATGAGCTTCTTTTGATCTCATGCATCTCATGAACTGAAACGAAGAAAAGACCGCATACATGAACCCCTATCCCCATGCACACTGGCGGCAGGGCCAGCGTGCTGCCCATCCCCGTGTCCAGTTGGAGTCGATGCAGACGCACTCAGTCTACCAAGCACATTCAGCTCATCCCGCGCAACATATGATGGCAGCGGCTTCAGAGCCACCGTCGCGGCCGCCCTACGATCCCCAGCCCTTTCGCGAGCTCGAGTCTGCGCTCATAGCTGCTCTTGATAAGATGAACAATAATTCGTCCGCACGCATGGACATGATGGAGATCGCGATTGGAAACCTCGCCAGAGTGACGGATGATGCGCTTCAGGTCGCAAAATCGGCACGTCGGGAATGCAAAGAAGGCTTCGACAGGCTGCAGGGCCACCTCTTGCGCAGCGCACAAGCCTCCATTGTGAAGAGTGAGAGGCTCGCGATGATCTTAGGTGACCCGGAGAATAGGAGCATGGACACGGAACAGCAAAACTCGACACTCATGGGGCGGATTGAGCAGCTCGAGCTCGCGATCACAGAGTTGACAGAAACCGTTGCGGACCCCGATGCGGGGCGTCCTGCTATTGTCAGGCACGAAGCCGCTGTCAACACTAGTCCGCAGAGTCGCCCCACAGTCGATGTCGCTATCGACGCGATAGATCTTGTGCCACCTATTCCGCATGCGGATATGGGTATTCAAGCTGAACAGCCTACCTTCGTCGAAGCCGGAGTCGAGGCGCGTCCGCCGAGTCAGGAGATGGTGTCTACGGGTTCACAAACGGTTTTCACGCCTTCTGCCCACCTTGGTAAGTCCGTAGGCAGTTTGATGTGGCTTTCCTAACGTCTCGACAGTCACGACAATGTCTGGTTTCTATACACCGTCGTTCGTCCCACAACCTCTCGCCCCGGCGTCATGGAGTCCCATTGACACAGCAAGTGGTGAGCAAAATCCGCCACACAGTATGCCTCAGCTTGTTGAAGCTGTCTCTGCGCCGCCAATGAGCGCAGATAGTTCGATCTCGAGAGCTACCAGCAAGGCTCCATCTCCCCCTCCCCGACCTACGACGAGTGCGAGAACGAGCATGAGCATGAGCACGGCCGTCCCTTCCACCTCGCGCACTCAGCTTTCGCCCCGGCCTAGCTCCATCTTTGACGAACAAGAGATTATGGATGAACTCGATAACGTGTCTCAGTATCCCACCTCTCCTGTTGGCGCGATCCCCCAGAGCCCTCCTCGCACCTCTCCAATCCGTGCGCCCCTTTTCCCCTCTGCCCGTAATCATGGTACCTCATCCAGATTCCCGCCTCACATTCCTGCAGCAAAAGAGCCTGGGCCGTTCCCATCTCCTCCCGGGTACGATGTTGGAAACGAGTCTCCTACCAAGCCGTCGCATGGTGCCGGGATCTTTTCAGCGAGTGGGACAGCAGCGCCCCGTCCGCAAGATAGTCCGCTACCCAATGGCTTCACCAGACTCAGCGCGAGATCCTCGCCCCCACCTCTGTCTGCTTCTGCGTCTGACTCGTCTCTCTCGAGCGTAAGCTCGAGCAATCCATCGCCGCCGCTCGCTCCGCAACGTCCCCAACCTCGTGTGGCACAACTCCGGCCGGCGCAACTACCCCCGCCTCAACTCGAGCCATCTCCATCCCTCTCACCCTCTCCGCCTTCTCCGTATCTCCAGCCTGCGGTCCCGCCTACGCCACCGCCGCAGCTACAAGAACTACAAGAGCACTTATCTTCTGTCCTATCGCCTCTCACGCGCGCCTCCTCCCTTTCGTCCATGTCCTCCCTGTCCTCCCTGTCAACAGCGATACATCCCGAACCAGCCCATACTCAGACGTCTCAGCCACAGAAGAGGCCAAAGCAGTATGCCGCACGCGGCGGAAAGACCGGAAAGAGCGCGAGCGCAGTCGTGCGCGTCAAGAAAGAGCGAGGCGAGGAGATGCCGCTCACGAGCGCACGGCCCGCGAAACGCCGTAGGACGCTAGGGACGGACGTCGAACTCAAAGACGAGCCTGGTAATTCTAGCTCTGCTTCTGCTTCTACGTCTGCGGCCGTGAATTCTGGTCGGGGAACCTCTACGCGTGGTCGGGGACGCGGAAGATCCAAAGGAAGAGGGGGAGGGGGAGAGAACGGAGGAGGGAGAGGTGGAGGGAAATCGTCACAGCAGCAGCTGCTAATTACGCCGATCAAGGAACCGGTGCAGCAGCAACAGCAGCCGAAGACACGGTACGAGCCGCCGATGATTGGAACGGACTGCCCGTGGCCGGGTAAGGTCTTGGGCGAAGAGACGTCCAGGCGGGAGGTGCGTCGAACGCTTGCGGGCCGGTTCTGCTTCGGGATGTGTTAGCTCATGTTTGACTGCTTTGCATTCGCAGTTCGTGCAGTGCGACAAGTGAGTCCCCCTCTGAACTGGCTGGGCGGTGTTGTAGTTGACTTGCTTTAAATAGTTGCGAAGGGTGGTACCACTTCGGGTGTGTGGGCATAATAACGGGAGACCCTCGGCTCGACCCGAGTGCACAGTTTTACTGCCCGCCATGCGAGACTTCCGAGTGAGTCCTTCCTCCTACTCTCCGCGCTCTGCAGAATATACGCTGACCCGACGTGGTGCGTAGGGCCGTACAAATACAGCGAAGAGCTGAGCGTTACAAGGCCGCGGCGTGTCTCCGTCCAGACTGCGACTTTCCTGGCGCGGCGGAGGACACGAACGAGTACTTTGTAGATCGCATCATCGGGCGCAGGCCGTTCAAGCCCGAGATCGATACGGATGTCCGCGAGTCGACGGAGTACATGTGGCTGGTCAAGTGGGACGGGTGCGTCCAGTTTCTCTCTTCTCTCCTTTGCTGAGTGGGTATCAATCAATGCGAAATGGCAGATACAAGGCGGACCTAGCGACGTGGGCGGCGAACGAGCACCTAGGCGAGTGTGGCAAGTTCATCGAAGAGTTCGAGCAGGCGGCCGAGATAGAGGGTCGTGACCTCGACGCGCGCGACAATACGATCCTGCTCAATGAGGCTGCCGCCGCAGGCTGGGCAGGGCCATGATACCGTTATTCTTCCTGATTCTTGTCCTCTAGCCGTCGTCCCTTTTAAGTTCTTTCAGCTTCCCTTCTCGCTCTCCCGTTCGCTACACTCTTAATGCACCTAATCGCCGACCATTTTCGCTGTGTCACCGTCAGGTCTCCGCTTTCGCACCGCATCGCTAGTCGTATCTTGTAGCATACCCCGCGACGTTAGAGTACAATATTCACTGCCCTGTGTTGCCCTTGAATCTGCAGCGCCTGCTGCAGGTACTCTCGCTCGAGCGCCCCATACTGATGGTACTTCGTGTGTTCAACTTGGTGAGTGCCTGATACTCTGCTGCGATTGTCTTCATGCTGACTGTGGAAAAGATCGCGCAAGTGAGCTAAAGTTCTCAGCTCACATTCTGACTGTGGGAAGCGGAGATATCCGCGGCCTCTAGCGGGTGCCTTTTACGTGAGAACCGCTGCGCTTGGCAGTACAGACCACACAGCTATGCGGCAAGTGTTGCCCGATTCAGATCATGGTTATCCATGTGTAAAGCTGATTGTTGACCTCCTATTAGCTCACCGTCAGCGACTTGACTGTATGTGCTATCCCCCTGAAATGCTGAGGCCGCAGGTACACGAGTCCGCGGCGAGTTAGTAGCTACGCTCGACCACGGAAAAGGCAGCCTCGAACAAGAGTTGAAGAGTTAAAATGCGCCCTCCGTCGAACCTTGTTGAGCGGCTGCGACGATAAAACGGGAACGCCAAGGAACATGGAGAACAATCCTCCGGAGATTACGTCCCTTGGCGGACAAACTGGTAGTGGCGCCTTTACTTACAGAGCGTTGATCAGAAGGCCGCGTCGCATGGAACCACTGCAGCCGCGACAGCTCTGCCCGAGCCTGCCGTGGCTCCCGAAGAGGCGTTCCGGTCTCGAGTAGGCAGCTCGGCTTGTGCGTTGACAGAACCGTACGCAACGTGGCCTGCGGCGTCTCGGACAGCCGTGGCAGCGATCCCAGCTGCTGAAGTCAACTTGAAGGTGTAGATCTCCCGTCCTATGTCCAAGGAGTATAAGATCTCTCGCACAGCTCTGCAGATGTGGACAAGTGTTCCTCAAGATATTCGTAGGTCGGTTCCCAGTCAGATATCCATGATGGAGTAGATTGCTCCCATACCTACCGGATAGGAACATATAGACCGAAGTTGCTCACAGGTAAGGAATCCAGAAGCCTATTCTCGTCCTCAGACTCAAACTCAAACTCAGCCACTCTTGAGGACCACCCTTTGTCTGCGCTGGGCTCGCGACCCTCTCTAAGCCCCGTCCTTCGTCTGCTTGCCCATCTCTTACTTCGTGCCGGCCACTGTCGTGCGGGCTCACGCCTTCCTCAATCCATGCCATGAACAGCATCCTTGTGATGTGAGTGACTGTGGTCGCTGAGCCTGAGCTGCCCATTTGACTGACATGACCGACCTGCCCCTATCGCAGCGCCGAGTCAGACCATGACATCCGCATCGCATCCGCCATAGCATTCGGTGAGCATCTCGACAAACGTCGGCCGACCAGTGGGGTTGAACACATGTTATATTCCACAGGCATTCTCTACTTTGACTACACCCTGACATATTCTGCCGAAGTAGAAAGGTTCTGGAAGGGTCGCTTTTCCTTTGCCTCTTTCATTTTCTATTTCAACCGCTATTTGGCGCTATTTGGCCACATCCCTGTCTTATACGAATTTTATGGTACTCATAACCAAGAAGTAAGTTTGCTACGCGGGTCTATGAATGATGATTCGCTCATATATTCTGCCGATATAGCTGTAAGTGCTGGAGGAGGCAATGTGATGGTTATCATGGCTGACACCTCTTCGCGTGAAGGTGCTCGAGGGTGCAGATGTACCACCAGCTGCTAGCCGGGATCACGCAAGTCATCGTCGCAGGTACGTCTTATACCTGGCTTTTTTTTTCACTATTGGCACTTACTACGTGGCCAGGATTGCAATTATTCCGTATACACGCTTTGTATCATGGGAACCGTCGGATAACTTCCGCGCTCTCCTGCCTGTGTCTCGTTTGCTGCGCCATCAGTGCTGTGAGTACGACCCTCTCAAATATCCATACCCATGATACCTACACAAATCGTCTGCCGGTGCTTGTACTGTTCTCTAGTGGGCGGTATCGCAGGCTTGGCACCAGCCTTCTGGTGACAAGACCATGGCAGGCATACCGGGGGTCGGTTGCGACCTTACAATGACTGAGGCTCAGTAAGTCCAACCTTGCCTGCTGCTAAGTCCCCACACTGATTTTTGCCCCGCAGAGGCAAATGTAAGCATTATATCTCGGCTTGTGTGTTACACGATGTCAAAGCTTACGACGTGACTCTAGACCTGTCGTTTGTCTGGGCGAGCGTGCTAGCTTGGGATACAACCGTATTCGCACTGACGGTGTATCGAGTACTCGGAAGCGGATCGCGGTGGCGAGGGAGCTTGATGGGCGTGTTGCTCCGCGATGGTGAGTTTCACGACGAATGAAGACGAATAGGACGCTGAATTCAGGCCTTTGCATCGTCTGAATATCAGGGGCATTTTACTTTGCGTATGTCGTCTTGACCAGAGCCAGATAACTCCCAACCTGACCTCATTGCACGGAACGCGTAGGGTGCTACTCGTGTGCCATATGTGCAATATCTTGACATGTCTTGTATGTTGTTCCCTCCCCACCTCCAGACACCCTTCTGATATCGATTGCCAATATTACTGCACCTTTAGCTCGCCCAAGTGAGCGCGCCCGAGTAGCCCAGCAGGAAGCCTCAACACTGAGTACTGATCGGTACCCCACAGGCTGTGACTCGTGGCATCAGCGTAACGATCACGAACGTGTGCGTCCTTCCCTCCACAATCCCGCCGTGCTCTTCCACTCTAGGTAGTGACACGCTAATCGCCTTCCTCTTGCGCATCTAGCATAGCAAGCTCCCTCATCACGCGCCTCATGCTCAATCTTCGCGACCCTCGGCTGCTACGAAACCAGAGCAGCGGCGCCACGGAGCTCAGTGACTTGCCCTGGCGCGCAAACACTGGCCCGCATGGATCTTCCGCCAAGTCAACAGGTGTTTCATCGTACGGGACGTCGTCTGAGGGAGGTTCGTCGGGGCCGTAGGACAAGTGAGGTGTCGTGTTCTCCCAGTGCTCCACTGACTCTGTATCGATATCGAGTTCGAATACCCTGACACTGTTGCTTGATAGTTGAGTTGTGGCTTACAAATTGTATGTACCATATCGTTTTGATAAAACTATCTTGGGAAGGTGAGATCTGTAACCGTATGCGGCAGCAGAACTGTACGAGCACATCCTCAAAGCTCGAAGTTGTCGCTGAAATGTTGGGTCGGTACACGCAGGCTAGCCATAGGCGTGACTGACTTCATCAAGGTCCATGTTCGGCATTTTCGTCGAGGATACTTGTTCTCACTTTCTTCGAGCATCTTCGAGCCGTCGCAGAGTGAACCTTAAAACCACATGAACATTGATTGATGAGGTACTAGTGACGACTCGAAATACTGCGAGGGCAGGCTCCACGCTGGGGCGCGGTTTGCTAGTATCATAAGCTCGGCATGACAGCATTCCCCGAGTTCTGCTGATTCGGACGGATGGCCGCACGTTCAGGCCACAAGTCATACTGGCCTGCATTGGCGTAGCCAACATTGTAGGACGTCCCGTCGCCCTGATAAAGAATCGCCCGATCAGCATATATCTCGTGTTCTGCGGATGATATCTAAGCTCACAATCATGTCGTAAGGGAAGCCAGCACGGAAAGGCACGGCGCCTTCTATCTTGCGGATGTGCTCCCCGGTGAGCACGATATCGAGGGCCTCAAGGTTGGCATACAGGTGCTCGACCTTTCGCCCTCCGACGATGGGGAATACGTACGGAATCTTCTGCATCACATACGCAATGGCAACTGGACGGTATGAATACGTGAGTCAAACATTTCCATGCCGTGTAATTTAGAGAATTTGGCTCACCAGCTTGAACAGTCTTCGCCCCAACCTGGGCAGCTACTTCCTCTAGAACCTTCACGACCTTGCGCTCGTCCTCAGTGCGCTCCCAGTTAGGAGACAAGACCGTCCGTCCTAATGATACGCAAAAGTCAACGGATGCTATCGCTACTAGTTGCACATCGCACTCACCCTTCTCGCCTGTCTCGCGGCGCTGGCGCTCCTCCTCGTCCGTACGGATCTTACCGGAGGCAAGCACATTCCATGGGGCGAGCGCCATGCCTTCGGCCTTGACCATTGGAAGAATATCACGCTCGAGGTCACGGTGCATGACACTCCACAGCCCCTGATAGATGCAGAAAGGGGTCTTGCCGTGGTCACGTGCATATTGGTTGGCGCGGCTGACAATCCAGGACGGGGCGTCGGATATACCCTGCATGATGGATCATGTACCGAGGGCTTGAGTAATACTGGAGGTGGGAGAGATGTGGGAACATACGAGGTACAGGACCTTGCCCGCCAGAACAAGGGCATGGAGACCATTCATGACCTCCTCGACGCTAGTCTGCCAGTCCCACTAGTCGGCGTACAACAACGTCAGTAACGGTCATGCTATAGATACAGCCCTTACTGACCCAGTGTACATAGAGTATGTCAATGTAGCTGGTCCGAAGCTTCTTGAGGGAATCCTCGACGGAGACATGAAGAGATTTCATATGGTTCCCGACATATGCCGAATGCTGCTTGACGTCCTGGCGACCGCGTTTGTAATTGGTCGAATACTGACAACATCGGCAACCCGGTTAGCACGCGAATAGCTCGGTGTTGCCTCGAGCCACCTACCTTGGTAGCAATGATGATCTGGTCCCTGATACCGCGGGTCTCCATCCATTCCCCGATGAATGCCTCAGAACTCTCGTCCTGATAATTGTTGGCCGTGTCGATGAAGTTACCGCCAGCCTCGTAGAAGGCGTCGAGAAGCTTGAAGCTGGATTGCTTGTCCATAGCTCCCATGCCATAACTGGCCCACTTGTCTCCGATGCTCATACCGCCAAGGCAGATGGGCGAGACGTGGACCCCAGCCTTGTCGCTGAGACGGCGGTGGCGGCCAAGCTTGGTCGGAGGCGCTCCGGCGGGGGCCCAAAGGTGCGCAGCGGACATGTTGGTGGACGATGAAGTGAGAGATAGAAGTACGACGGAGAGTGCTGGGAAGTCTACAAGGCAGAAGACAGTGGTGATGTGTTGCAGTCGGCCTTCCAGCCATAGGCCTGGGATTATATATGTGCGATGCGCTTAGACGCGAAGATTCTAGGTTCTTACTCCCATGCCGCCTGGAAAAGCAAGCCAGCTGAACGCGTCAGACCGGCAGCCACTGAACACAAAGCTGCATAATGGCATCTTACCTGTGGCCCGTGGATAACGAGATCCCGGAGGAACAGGGCTTCGTGAGCCGAACGCAAGTGTAATTGCCCTCGCGGCGAGGAGCGGCTTCTGCACAAGCCGTAGCTTGCGCATTGTTCAATGCCGCCACTGGAGGAGTGTGAATTAACAGGCGACAGTCGGATCAGCATACAAGCCAGGAATAATAGGGGGTAATGCGGGAATGTTTCCCCTTACGGGAAGTGTTTATGCGCGCTTCATATTCCGATCGGTACATAGATCGGTTCGCCCACTCTTCTTCGCCGGTCGGTATATTACGCTGGGGGGAGCATGACGTTGAACCATACGGCGACACATGCCGATGTTGTGTTGGCGTAATCAACGACCCGCCGAATGACGACGCAAGCACCGAGAAGCAGTTCTACGCGCGATTGAGTCGCTCGAGAGCGGAATGCCCCTTCTAGAACTCAAAGATCGTCAACTCAGGCATAACTAGAAATAAGGAAACTCACATCACATTAGACATGATCAGTCCGGGTGGGAGGCGGCACAAGGGAGAAGCGATAGTACGTCTTACATTACGAGCATGAATGGCAAAGTACAATCATCGCACACAGCATATACATAGTATACAACCACAACAAGCAGAGCCCAGAGAAAGCAACTCGACGAGTCTAGAGGTGCACCGGCGCGCCGAAACATAAGCATGAATGGTCCTCAAGCCCTGAAGATTCGAAGAAGTCGACTCTCCGTCACGATCCTCGTCCGACATAAAGGACACTCTCTCGTGCTGTTCATGATCAGATCGGAGCACCCTCGACACATAGCCAGATGTCTGTGTACGACCTATGCTTTAGCTGACACATTGCACGCTGAGATGCCAGACCACGCACCCGCAGTCGACGATTGCGATATTCGCCTCTTCATCCTGACAGATAACACATAGCCCCGTCCGCTCGAGACGGGACGCCATCGCCTGCGCCTTGGGCGTGAGTGTGCTGGCAGGCGGGGGAGTGACAACACGTGTAGGCGGCGTGGACGCCTGCGGAGGAGAACCCGAGTCCTCTCCCGTCGCCGGTTGAGGAACAGGCATCTGCACACCTTCTCCTGTGCCGGCGGGCTCAGGGATAGGTATCTGCACATTAGCTCCCTCCCCGTCATTGCCCTCCGCACGCGCTGGTCCTGGGGATGCGGGGTGCGACAGGCCGGCTTGAGACGCCGAAGCCAGAGATTCCTCGCGTGCACGGCGCATCTGTTCCTCATACTCCCTCTCCGCCGCCTCTTCTGCCGCCTTGCGCTCCCGCTCGGCCTTCTCCTGCTCGATGAGCGTCTTCACACGTGAGACGAGCTCGCCCTTCTCCACGACGAGGCGGGCTGTGACGTGATTCTTGAAGAGGATCTCCTTGAGCGAGCCGATCGAGAGCGCCGCGACCTGCTCGTCCGACATCTTCAGGAGCTCGTCGATGCTCGGTACGACGACAGGGCGTGCGGGGGAAGTTCCGCGCGGAGTGGACGACGTCGACGCTGCGCGGGGACGTTGCGGCGGTACGTTGAGGTGGTCGGGGCGCGCAGATTGGCTATATCGTGGGGGCGCGCCTGGAGGTGGAGCGTATTGTGGATGTGGATGCGGATGTGGATGGGCAGTACTAGGGCGAGGCGCCTGTTGTTGTGGCTGTTGTTGCCGCGTCCGAGGGTCAGTCTGACTATGAGGGCTGTATCTACTAGGACCGGAATTAGTGCGCTGGCGCGGTTGGTATTGAGTGTATTGCGGGTATTGTTGGTACTGCTGCCGTTGCTGATATTGAGGCTGAGGCTGTTGTCGTGGGGGTGGCGTTGAGGACGTTGAAGTCCGGTCGCCCGACATCGCATCCATTGCGCGAGTGAATATCCCGCGCGGTCGATTGCTTGCGCGGTTCGGTATTGAGTGCTTCCTGTAGTAGCTCTCGTTCGCATGTGGCAGGCATCCTTCGGGAGTCTAAATCCATAAGGTAAGTATGTAAACCGGCAACACCGATTTCGGTATGGGGAATAGAGAAGGCTCAGATGCATGCGCAAGCCGGAGATGGCCAATATCGTTGGACAGAGCACAAGGAGTATCAGGACGATTAAGTCATCAAGAGTCCCGGTGACGACGTTATTAGATTGCGAGATGAGAATTAGTCGTCGCGTAGTCCTGTGGTTCGGATTGTGACCGGGATACACGAGCGAAGAGGTGCCCGACGTCGATAAAATGGAACCTGGGATCGTCCACTCATGCGGTGAGACAACTGAGGGTCTTCTGATCCAAGCACCGACCGCACTTTACGAGAACTTCCACCGTCGAGCAGAGGAACTAGACCGGCTATGCGACGTCAAGAAGACGAGACTCGTAGATGGCCGGGCATGACTGAAGTCATGAGACGTAACACAACTCAACGCCACATGTTTCCGAAGACAGATGGCTGACGGGAGGAATGACGCTGTGTGCGCCCGCTGCCAAGCAGCGAGAACGTGAGTGGACGAAAGGATGACGGTGGGCCTTTGAGGCAGGGTTCCGAACGTGCCTCGTGCCCTGCTACCCTGGTCCCATGCCGTGAACACTTCATCCCACTTCAAGCGGACGCGCCCCACCCGACGGCGCAGAACGAGAGCGAACATGCAGGGAAGGGGAAAGGTGAGGTAGGGGCCACAACTGCAAAGCAAACAACAAGCCAGATTGAGTCGCAGCTCACATTTAAGCCGCAGCTTCAGGAGGAGATGCACAAGTGTAGAGCATGACCCAGGATATGAGCCAAGCAGGCAAGAGCGAAGGCGACGGGAGCGGGATTTCGCAGAGCGGTAGAAGAGGAAAATAGACATACCCTTGCTGCTACAAGTCTTTCGATAAACTCGTCCTTCTCCAGAATGCCGGAGACGTCGATATTGTAGGCCTTTGCGTACTTCTTGAGCTTGGCCATCGGCAACTGCTTAAGCTGCCCCTTCCCGCTTGCGGTGACTACGCATGCGTCCTTCTCAACTCTCTCATATCCATCTCAGAACGAGCGGCAAGCACATACTTTGAAGCATCTCGATGCAGAACGCACATACTGGCATTGGATCGTATCCGACCGTGCTCCCGGCATCCGCGTCCTGGCGTCTTGGCATGAGCGCCTGGTAATCCGTACATGAATGGCAATACAAGTATCCTGTGAAACCCAAACATACACAAGATGCCTTCGATAAGCCTCGCTCATGAGCGTGAGCATAGGACTTGACGCACCACAATGATTACACTTCCTCGATCGCGCAAACAGAATATTGAACTCCTTGTTGCATTTACGGCAGGACGACTCGTTCGCGGTGTACTCGGGTGCAGGACCACTTAGCAGCGGCATTCCCCTTCCATCCGACATGGTGAGCAACGATTGGGCGGTCGAAGGAGAATACGTATACGTGGTCAGACAGGCTGATGTATATAAAGCAGTTTACAATAGCAGTGGTGGTCGTAGTAAGCATGGCCGGTGCCGGTCCACTCGTCTGTTCCAGCACCTTCGGCAAGCGCCCATTGTTCCGGCTTTCTCGGGATGTAACAACAGGCGCCTCGTGCCTGTCGTCGCCCATCAATCCTGTTGTCTCTTCGACCTGTCGATTTATTGTGGCCCACTATTGTTCCCGTGGTCTTGAGGCAACATGGGGCTGGAGGTTGCGAGAGAGATAAAATAGGTCCGATGAAAGTGGTCGATGCGGAACGTTAGATTTCCAGTATGGTTGCACCGCGGTCAGCCGTGTATGGCGTCGCGGTGAGCACCACGTGTGGCAAACGCCCAAACTTTTTTTTTAGCGGAAATAACTCCAGAAGCGCTAATGGCCTCACGTGTACTGGTGGAGAGTCCCAAGCTCTCATCTCGAGGTGAAAGTGCCCCAAGGCCATCTTAGTGATACTTTGAGAAGGGTTATAGGTAGCTCAGAGTACTCCGACAACGTTGAGATCCCCCGGCGCGACGTACGTGGGGAGCACGACGACAAGCCTCCGGAGACGCGCTTGGACGTAGTACCTATAAGCGAAATTTCTCGGGAAAATCCGCAAAGCACAAAGTTCGACGCGTAGGTGAGCCGATCCACTGCGGCGCCATACACGGCTTGACTATGGTGCAACCATACTGGAAAACTGACGTTCTGGGTCGATGAACAATAAATACTATGTGAGTACAACATGTGGCACTAGCGATACATAATGCATACTCCCGCGCGAGGGGACATGCTTAAAACCCATTGACCTGCAAACCAGAACCACAACTCCAGCAAACTATCTCGTTTCTGACCTTGATACCGCCTTCGCCCTTGCCTCGAGGATCGCAAATGCCGTCACGATCGCATCCAGTATAGGCAAGCCATCCTCCAGTATGTCCACTGTGAACTTCGTCCCATCCACCTTACTCGCGCTTCGCGACATCGCGATGACCTGGCCCGTCTCACAGTCGGTGACCTGTTCTCGCAAGGTGAGTACTCATTACGAAGTCTGCACCAAACATGTTGCCATGCAAGACTCACCGACCAGGTGTACTTCGACCTCGTCCACGCATACTGCCTCCCATTCGGTGCGTGCATCCGCCGCGATCTGCCCGGCGCACACCCCCGTCAGCCCATATAGCACACAGATCGTGAGACATACGCACAATGAGAAGGTGTGTTCCCGTTCCAGCCACTCGTTCAAGCCCCTCCTCTCGCCTCCAATCGTTAGCTCGTGAGTATACGCAGAGGTCTCGTATGTCGCCACGATGTCCCCCGTCGCATCGCGCACCGTCGTCAACGACCCGCCTAGCAAGTGCGGGGTCTTGATGTCATACAGTACTTGGTAGGTCGCCGTGTTGACGACGACCGAGTTCAGCGGGCGGTCCGTGAATGTGAGTTGCAGCATCTCTCTCCGTTATCGGCGTGGCGAAGGGGTGCGATGCGTTTTTGCGTTCAAGAATCTGGGTTCGGGTTCGGATTCAAGTAGGAGCGCGTCTGGAAAGATGTTCCAATATATATCGGCGTTGGTGTGGGTGTCCAGGTTGCAGCTGTGGGTGTATCGGCGGGCCCGCGCCTGAGTGTTTCGAAATCGACCGCTCACGCAACCCAGGCCGAGCTGTATATATGGTTCCGGCCCAGGCTGCGTCAGGCGGTCCGAGGGAACACCCACTCGTCATCATGGCGGCGCCCAGCGCTCTCGCTCAGTATCAGGTGTGGGAGCGCAGAGCTGTGGGAGCAGTTCACAGCTGCGCTGTGTTGCTGCACGGACCCGCTGATGGAGATAAGTACTGTACGTCCTATCGTCTTCATGTTCCTCCTTCATGCCCCGTTGATTTGCACGCTGTTGTGTTTATCGTCCAGGATCCAAATGTCCTTCGCGGTCGCGGAATGCATAAGCCGACAATCCAACGGGCACCCGCGGGCTTGACATCCGTCGCAGTTTATGGCCGGAAGGAGCGAGCCCTCCGTTGTCGGCGTACCTCAGGAGAGAGAGCCGAACCGGAGATGTCTCCGGGTTTCAAAGGCACTCGGGCGATGAGAGTGGAAGCGCCTCGATGCCCCTCCATCGAAACGTGGCCTGTGGCTGTGTCTTTGGTACGCTTGACAAAGGACGAGCAATGCATGTGGTGGACCTGCAAAATGCTGACGCATTTCGCGTCGATTGCCGCCGTAGGCCTCGGAGATCATTCGATGGACCTACGGACGCATTTTCGCGATTGCTACACACTTCGTACATCTGTTCTTGCATTTGAAGTGATATCGACACGGAGGACAACTCAGAGCGCCGGAGGGGAAATCACTATAACATGTTTGAGTTTGAGTCGGAGGATAGCTCACAATGGCTGTATCTCGTCTATCCCTCATAGTCAGCCTCACTTACAGCGGCTACTACGTTGTGGGAACCAGAGGCGCATCGACACTGCTCCATAGCCGTGTTGGAGCCCGGACAGCCTACTACCGCCTGCTTGCAGCTCGGCGACCTGCCGCCCCGGCGCGGTGGACGAACCGCATCATTTCAGGTCCGGCCGTGAGTCCGGAGAGCAGCGGGACCGGTCAGCGTCGGCTACCGCATAAAGGCCACAATAGGAGGACGATGAAATGTACCGTGACTGGCTTCAAGTTTGAAATGCGCGACTGTGCGTCCAGTGGTATTGAGCGCGGCGGTTCGGAGCATAAAGCATCCGGACACGATACTCTCTGTCGCGTGCGATACAGAACATCGTCCTCGGGCATGAAACTCTGGATGTCTCTGTGCTAGCGGTAGAGCGTCGCGCTGATTCTGAACGCCGCGATATGCAGGCCGCGGGCGTCGCACATCGTCGCGGCATCATGCGTCCCAATGCATCCCGGGCAGTCGAACCGATGGAGTGTCTGACTTGTCGTGGTCTTCATGCCTTTGGGCCCGTTGTTCGCGGGAGGCAAAGATGAGCGTTTTAGCCATGTTGGAGGATGAGGTAGAATCGAGTAGCCTACAACGAGGTATGTAAACCTCTGGGATATCGGGCCAGGGAGGTATCAAACCTCCCAAGCCCCTTGCACGTGCTGATACCTTACCAGTGGCCCCAGTGTCGCCCTACCGACCGTCCGTGCGCCCTCCTGTCCCATCAATTAGAGATAGACGACGCGTGAGCACGCGTTCATGTGCCCCTTCTCAATATGATGACGCTCAAACACTCCAGTACGCCGCGGTAAGATATAAGGCGGCAGAGATGGGGTACGAAGAGCAAGGGACGGAGAACATATTGAACGGTGTGGACAGAGCAGGGGAGGAGGGACTGTTAGCTGGAGCAGTGGGGACGCATGTCATCGTATGGCGCTAATCACAATGTATGTCATCGTGTGGCGCTAATCACATTAATCACAACCGATACCCGATGACCGATGACCGGGCCCCTTACCGGGTCCACAGCACGACCTTGCGAGCCTGCGCGCGGGAAGCGGCTGGTCACAGGTAGGAAGGCGGACGATGGCAGGCGGAGCAGGCGGGAAGTGGAAGACAGGAGGCGGGAGACGGTGCAGTTACCACATCGCGACGTGCCAGGACGGCGATGGGAACCCGATCGCGTCCGACCTCAACGTCTGGATCCAGACGGGCGCGTACGTGCTCATCGCGTACTCGGAGATCTTCGCGTCCAT